GGAAGAATATATGTTCAAAACACAGAAGTAATGTTCTACAAATTTCATTCTGTACATCCAAGGCTAGCCACTTGTTCACTTTCTTAAAGCTGCTCTAACTAGCTCACTATGTAAATCCAAATGGATTTCACAAATCCCTGCAAGATACAGAAGAAACAGCATAAAAAAAGAAGTTACTGTAGTAAAGATATATTAATTTTCATTTATTAGCATATGGAAAAGTGGAACCAATTTTGGTTTCATAATTAAGAGAGTAGAGGTATAGGTCCCTAACCTTTTTGCTTTGCACACAAGAATTTAAATCTCTTGATGAAAGGCACCGTTAGAACATGAAGCAGGGTTCTGTTTAGTTTGATGTCTATATACACACCTCCCAGCCAATAAAATATTAAGGCTGTTCTGCATGAGCTTTCCTAAAAGTCAAAGAAATTATCAAAGAACTTGGCAAAAACATTGGTGTACACATTTCCAGTACCTATGACACAGAGCTCAGAAAATAACCTTGACTGATAGCAGAATGATTCCAGACTGCTGGAGAATGTGGACCCTAGGACAAACTTGAACTTTTGCTACTTGCAAATACCTTTAACTGACAGTAATTGAATTACAGGACTTTTTTTTAACACATAGAAGATAATATATATGAAAATAAAGTAATCAGCACTATTTCAAATAAAGAAGATAGGTCACAGTAATTTTTAAGTGTGTTAAGTAAATCACTAATAATTTGAGGAGATACTTCTATAATGAAACATGGACCATTACATCTGTGTGTGCAGATGCCTGGGAACATGGTGAATGACACAGTCAACAAATTTTAAAAATGGCTCACAAACAGCATAGAAGTGAAAAGTGAAGTAGCAGGATTAAGATGGGGTCTTAGATAAGGACAAACCCCAGTCTTAATGGTTCACAGAAGAAAGACTGCTACTTAGAGGAGCCCAGAAGATACAGCCAAAAGAACAAATCAGTCTGGAAGTTCAGGCAAAGGCTTTAATGAATCTTCAAGTGCCACTTACCTCTAGGTTTGCTACCAAATTTTGAGAGCTGGGGAAAAAGAATATTTCATTAAAAAGTGTGGATGAGATTTTTTGAGCACTTCGTATCTTAGCAATAAGCATCATCCCTTTATCAGTTTCCAAATCAGCATGGTACTGTCTTGGTTAATTGTGTTAACTTGAATAAGAGCTGATATTAGTAGGATCCTTCCTTTTTTATTTAGCAATATTGTTATCGCTAAATTTATTATTTAGCAATCCTGTTTTTAAAGTAATGCTGTCATTTTAGTCTAATAACTTGATTCCTTTTATTTTTCCTTTGTAACAGGTAACTAGTTACATATTAAACCCTCCATTTTAATAAAAGTGGACAGTCAAGGCTTAGGGAACTTGATTACAGCACCATTATGGTAGGTGTCTCACCATCAGCTTATTTTCAGTTTCATTAGAGGAACTCTGCACAGGACCATGGCAGGTGATTTTAAGACAGCAGCTTAAACTGCAGAGCATAAATCACAACACCTCATTAGCAAAGTCTCTGACCTTCATGAAACTTCTTTTGGGGAAGTCTGGAAATCAGCTATAATGAATTTTGCTCTTGAAAGAGCTAGAAGATAGATAATTTATGCATTGTATCATGCTGAGACTGACCAAACAAGCCAATTTGATATAATTCTGCACTGCAAGCATTTCATTGCCCTTCATTAGAAAACTAACCTAGAAGGTTCCTTAAGCACAGAACTTTTTCTGCTAAGAAAAAGAAAGGGGTTTTTGTGCTACCCTTTCATATCTGCCAGGTGTCTAGCAAACCCTAGTTTTAAAAAAAGTTAAACTCCAATATACACATTTTTGGCCCCAGACTTTGTCCTCACATGTGGCAGCGTCATCACAGAGATGAGTAAATATGTTTTTGCATTGAAAGGCAAACTAACAAACAAAGAATCATTATACTCTATAAGTATATCCCCTTACAAATGGCTTAATTTGTTTCCAATACTAAGGAATTGTAAATTAATTTACATTTACTGTATACAAGCAGCTTTGAGAATGTCACTGTCTTCTGTTTGGTTTTGATTTTTCTTTTTTTAAAATAACATTTGCTTTGTTAACATGAAAGGAAAAAAAAAATCATTTCTACTGGACCTAAAATCAGCTGGTTCTTTCCAGCTGAGACCATCAATAGGGTATGTTTCACAACTAACAAGTCAGCTGCTACTCACAGTCTGAATGTAATTCAGCCACTTCCTCAGAGAAGCCTTAGCTCTCCAATGCTGGATGAAGTAAAAGTATAACGTAGTAAGAACATTGCAACAAACTGGAAAGTACACTAAAAAACCCCAAAGTTCTTATATGAAAGTGGCTTTATGTGTAAAAATATTACTTTTTTGTTTGAAATGTTGTATCTTTGAGCCACGATACTTAATGAAATAATAATTTTAACTATTACAGCTTTGAGTTGAAAACTAAAGAAACACAGGAACATTGCAAAACAGTACTCAACAAATTAGAATGAAAGAAATCTTCCCTAAAATTAATCCTTTACTGGAAAAATGCCCTGTAAATTACAGAGAATATGAACAGAGGATTTAGCAATAAAGTCTGAAATCCTTGGCTACAAAAGAACAATTTCAAGGTATTCTCCACAGCAAGTTTGTAAGAACAGAGAACATCCATGTTACCAGCATCTACTTTCTAACTTTTAAAGAAAAAGAATAACAATTCAGAACTTCTGAGAGCATTAGTCTTTTTTTCACCTGTAGGAAACTCATTAACATACAACACTCTAATAGCTGGTTATAATGCATGATTGGATTATGAAATTAACTGAAGAGATTCCAGATTGTCTCAGTAACAACATGTGAGGCAAAAACCTCTCTCTACATCCCCCCCGCCTCCACTCCAGGCCTGTCAGGAAAAAAAACTCTCAGCACAAAAATTATAAATAAATAAATACATGGCTTTGGGGGTTTTTGTTCCCCCTGCCATGTTAATATTATGCAACAACTCATCTGATGAATTGGTCTTGTACATCATCAGTTTAGGCCTGGATTATTTTAAATTCAAATATGAATACCTGACAGCTACGTATGATTTTTTCTGATAATTCAATGTAAAAAGTTCACATGCAGACACTGTTCTTTTTTCATTACTTGTGCAGTAGTTTAACAAGACAGTTTAAAAGCCAGCTAAACAAGCAATTACTATATGGAGTTCAAGGAAGAAAATTCAAAAAGTCAGTAAGATCTGATCTACAATCATGTTGTGGTCTAAATGAAAACTGTTTAAAAAAAGACTTAATTTCACACATTAACCAGATTTTTATAATGTCTTATTACTGAATTGTTTCCAGGAATATAGAACATCTCATTCTTCCTAACTGCATGACAGTCTTTTTGAAGCACTCACCAGGATGGCAGCCTAATATACTGTAATTACTATGACACCTCCCAGTTATCGAGTTATCTGCTCATTTTCCTTCCATATTTTACAGTGTCATGGGAAAGTGACTCAATGTTTCTACTTGCAATTTCAAACCTCAGACTTTGTATACAAGCAAAAATTCAAAATTAATTTCCAAAAGGCAAAATCTGTCAAAGTACTGAAACAACCACATACACAAGTTTAGTTCAATCCAATTACTCTGGCTCAGCTTCTACCACAGTTTACCACCTTAAGTTTTATAAATCAAAACAAGATAAATTCCACCACACAGCTCAATTTAACAAAGATATAAAAATACCAAAGGCCTGCCATGAATTTCAGCACACTGATCTCTCAAACACAAAGCAGTGATGTGATGGCCTGGAGATGTGGCTGGTGTCAGAGGCCAAGACCTCTAGGCAGGTTTAAGACTTGCAGTTCACCTGAAGATGAATTACATTACCCACCCATGCTCCAAGTCTGTTAAAAGTTAGTCAGATTTCTTCTTTAGAATCATTTAAGGAGGACAGATGTTAGTTCTATATAACATAAACAGATTGGTTTCCTATAACATGAAAGGATAGCACAAGACTATTTGTAAAGAGGGCAGAACTTAATGTACACATTAACAGATTTAATACTCATCAGTAACTCTTGCTGCACAGGTATGAAAATACACACCTGGATGTCTGTAAAAGAACTCTAGCAAATTCACATAACTATTTACTATGACAAAGACTTGATTGTTTAGCACACAGAAGAGTACTAGGGATCATGTACTAGAAAAATCATCCACCAGGAATAATTATTTCCACATAATCAACAGGCATTTGAGCTGTGCCTACTACCACGTGTACAAACAGTTCAGCTGAACTGTGACTTCTGTGCCCAGACAACCTAACATGCACTGAGATCTCCTACTTAATGCCTGCTGTGAAATTATCCCTAGTTCTGCCCTTGCCCTTTTGCCTTCTTTTATTCATTTTACAGCTTTTAAAGTGATAATCTGCTAAGAACATTCCTGAAAGACACATTTAAAAGCATCTAAAGAGTTGCTTCATAAAGCAAGCCTACTGTTGAAAAGTCCTGAGAGGCTTCAATTCAACTCTCAACAAAAGGGTTAGAGAAAAAATGTGGACTAAGATATGTTTAAATGCAGACTGCAGGGACTTTGGCTTTATCTGAATTCTGCAATACAGATTGCTGAGGACAGTAACTCTTTAAAATTCTCTTGACAAAACATAAAATACTCAGTATCTTATTGAAGCATTTCCAGATCTCTATGATCCTGACAGAGATTCTCAAAGAAAAGGTACAAAGAGAAGAGTTTCTCCTGTTTAAGAGATTATTGCAATTACCACAAAAAGGTAAGGATTCTGACCACAAAATATTCCAGTCTGAACCTAGACAGAAAAGGTACTTGGCTAGTTGGGGGATTTCAAAACATAAACTTACATGATTAAGGTAATAAGTATTTATTTATAGTCAAAAAATTTTATCCAGTGATATAAAGCTTTACCCAGTAACATTGTATACTCTTCACTGTAGGTAAACAGATAAAAAAAAGCAACTAACAAAGCCTTTAGAAATATAGTTAAATTTTATTTTTGTTTGCAGTGAAAATTAAAATAGATTTCTTATAATTCCCTTCACTATTTCAGCTCTTGGATCAGCTGGTGCTCATCAGGGCCCACCTCTTTTTCTTCATTCAAGTCTTCTTTTGCTTCTGCGTCTGTCACCTCGGGGTGACTGCAGGCAGCATCCCTAGCAGAAAGCTTTTTCATTTTGATGTTTGGCAGTTTCCTCAGATCACCATCCCATTCTCTTAAAGAGAAAAAACAGGTAATGAAAACCAGTTGCCAACAGAAAGGAAGGAATGGCAGAGTTAATTCACATTTCCTCAGAAGATGCTAACTCAAGTGAGGCTGCTTTTCTAAGTTATCTTCTGTCCCACTGTGGTATGAATGAGCAACAAAGATTTCACCTGATTTTGTACACTACAGAAGCTGTAATTTCTCTATGAAGAAATAAGTACTTTCAGATGTGATATTCTGAAACAAAAATATATGATTCACTTTATTCCCAAAGATTAACTCTACCCTCAGTCACTTTTGGCCACCTGCTTTTAGGCTTGTCTCATTCAATTTTTAGTCTGGTAAGCAACAGAAAAACAGGTCAGAAGAGTTTCTTCATCTGGAGGCTTGATTTGCATATGTGACATCACATGTACATAAGTCCCTGGTGATTTATGGTAAATGTTAACTTGTTGTATAACTGACTTCAAGAGAACACAAAAGGTTAGTAACATTAAATCATATGGTGAGTGTATTATTGCAAAAGGCTGCATGAAGGAGAATGGGTTGTTTTAAATATAAGTCAAACCCAGTACTCACTTAATAGAATGCTTTCTTGATTATACTAAGTGCACTTCATGGATAATTTTTCTCAAGGGCAAAGACAGTATTTGCCAATTATAAGATACATTTTTCCTTTACTAAGGCAATACAACAATACTTCTATCTGATGTCCCTGTTTAAGAAGTCAATTGCATATTTATAAATACAGCAGTTTCTCTTTGGAACTTCTGGCTTTATTCCAACATCCTGTAAATATGACTTCTAGCTACATAACATCTCTGCGAGTCAGTGATATAGCATTCCTTGCAACATAAGCATTCCTAAGTTGTTTTTTTTTTTCTTCCTTTAAAGTATTTCACCTGATAGAGCTGTCAGCAAAAATGCTCGCTCCATCTACTATCAGGACATACCAACATGCTGGCCCAGATGAGCCAGCAGCAAGTTTCACAGCTCCCAGATCTTTTAACTGGATGCAAGTTGTAAATTCATTTAAGATTTTCAACTAGTATATACACACATACCAACACTACTGTGAACAGCTGAAGTCAGAATTTTTGGTCAAATATTATCTGAGTCAATATTATTATTAAGTATTGGTCAAGTTATTATTAATTTTTGGTCAAATATTATCTGAGTCAAATAATATTGAGAAAAAAAGTTACTTAAGTTCCAGAAATGGCATTCTAACTGTCAAATCTAAATCTTCCAATGTTCTAATTAATAACTGGCACAGGTGGTCAGCTTGTAACAACTAAGAAATGCCAAAATAGCAGTACCATACCTACTCTGCTCTTTCAAATGACAAATTCCTTGGCAGTTTTGCCTAAGTTCCTTTTTTTATGAAAAAAGACTTACAACAGGTGAACTTCAGAAACACTATTTTGCATAAACAGATTATTAGTAATAATAAAAAACCTACCTGAAAAATTTAAGATGCTTTCTGTTCATAATGTCTGGGATTTCTAATGGGAAAGAAATTAAATTCTGTTAGATGTGTTACATTATTCAAGTGAGTCTCATTTCAAAAGGAGAAATGTGAGCTAAATGGCCTCTAACCAAAATGGCTACATACCTCCTTTCCATTGCAACCAAACTGTTCTAAAAGAAACCTGCCATACATATATACAAATAATAAAATAAATAAAAATAATAATACAAATAACTAAAGCAATAATACATATCTGTATTACCTTTGCTAGTAAAAAGGAAGGCAAATATTTTGTATTGGGACCTGTGGAACAGACCATTTTGCTTTCTTCCTTCTGGAGTAGCTAAAATCTTCCTACTAAAGTGTAATTTATAAATTTAGGCAGATTTTTACATAGGATGCCAAAGCTCTTTTGCCTCCCTTCTCTGTCCTTCTTTTCTTGGTCAGTCCTGCAGTGTTACAAGCAGCCTGTGTTTAACATCACCACTAATTTATGGAGATTGATACCTTAGGAGCCTTGACATCTTCCCACAGTATAAGACAGTATTGTCCTTGAGCAAATAGTTTTACTTTTGTTCATCGATCAATTTCCTCAAGTTTTAGTGTAATAAATAAAATCATGCTGTCAATGCAGGACTATGCATGATTTTGCTACTACAAAACATGGGATGATGATACCTGTGCCGTTTATCTTTGTGGCCAGTCCTTACTATGCAGAAAACTACTCCTTCCTTTCATACTTGGTCATGAAGTTACCAACTGAAGAACAATAATATATGTGAAATGTTTTGATAACAATTACAGTGATTTCTGCAGACTGTTCCTCAGTAAACAGATGAGGTGATACTGCTCACAGCTGAGCAAGCAAACACAAAGAAACATTTACCTAGTGCTTTTTTGAACTGCAGTCATGGCAGCACAGTGGCAAATGCTGGAACATCCCAGCTCCCACAAGGGAAAGAAGTTCTTCCCTTCTCCCAGGTATTTTACAAGGGGCAATCAGTGCTACTCCATTTGCCCCTAGTAGTGCATGTAGTGATGTAAACAGTGAGTTTGGCAGAAGTGGCACCATGCTGAGATTTGTATTCTTTCCTTTGATAAAAGCACTGATTCAACATACAGTTCAGGGTTCTTGTCAGACAAACCAGGACTACATGACAAGACTTTTCCAATTAAGTCCTTTCATTTGTTTTCCTTTTTTTTGGAAAACATATAATAGGTTTAAGTTATGCAGACCTTTTCCAAAGAGAATATTCTAACAGTCTTATCTAGCCTATCATTCAGGGCTCACCAACATCATGAGAAAGCAGGCACTCAGAGGAAATTCTGTGACAAACCAAGATTTGGCACTGAATTCATCTTTGTTGCTTTGGCAGTGGCAAAATTTTTAAGCTACAGTTACATGTGTGTTTACAATATGTTACACAATAAAAACTACTGAGTTGCAAGATTAAGAATAGTGCTGCATGTAGAAATAAATTATATACTGCACAGTAACTGATTTTCTAAATTATGCTGTATTAGTAACACTTGTCTAACAGCTGCATCTCCTTAGCATGCACCAATGTCATGGTTTTTGCTGCTTCTTGTGAACTTCTTCATTTGCTTTAAAATGTTAAGTCATAGGAGCATGTTTTTCTGAACTAAAGACAGAAAAAAATGTAAGAGAGAAATACAGAACAAGAATTAGTAGGAAAGAAATGAAGACAGTATTTTGGGGAGTAGATTATTGTCTGGCATTTCTAAGAAAAAGTATTCAACAATTTATGCATTTAGCAAAACAGTAGTGAAAGATGGTAAGCAAACATTTTCTAATGTTTCTGACCCTTTCAGATAGTTTTACTTTTCTCTCTTGTGAGGATGAACAAACAGCCTGTTAAAAAGAAAGAAACTGTAGATGCTCTTTAGGCAAAAAATTATTCAGTTATACAGTAATGATCACTACAGAAAACAGCAGCTAACAAATAGTACAGAAGTTACATTAGCAGATAAATGGAAATGATACAGCCTTCATCTGAATTAAATTGATTTCCCTGTAATGTGAAGCCTGCAGAACTAATTAATAAAACTAGTGTATTTAGTTTTAAAAGCCACTTTCCCCCAAGATAAGTATTATGCATGATAGAACATGTAAGGTAATTAGAAGCAAATTATCAAAAATGGATGGTGTTCGAATGAAATAATTATGATGCTTTTCCACTGAAAGCATACTAACTCTGGGTTACAAATAAATAAATAAGTATCTAGCATTGCCTTTCAATAGCTTTGCTATAAACATGTAATACCAGATTAAACAGAAAACCCAAATACACAAAAATGAAAAGAAGAGGAAGAAAACTGCAGTAAAACTACTGTAGATGTATTTAAGGAGTAAGTGACAAGGAGCTGCTAAACCTCAACAACATCACTGATACTGTTCCCTGTATAGCTACTGTTTGTTTAAAAAAAGACTACAATTTACTATATTTCAGGATGTCTACCACTTTTGTAAACAAATTCTTACATTTTGTAAAGGGTTAGTTTTTCATTTACATATATCCTTGACAGGACAAGAGGAAATGCCCTCAGGCTACACCCAGGGAAGGTTCATGTTGGATGTTAGGACAGATGTTTTTTCACTTAAAGGATGGTTAAGCATTGGAATGAGCTGCCCAAGGAAGTGATGGAGGAATCAGCAGCCTGGGAAGTGTTCAAGAAATGACTAGATGTGGCACTTAGTGCTATGGTCTAGTTGACATGGTAGTGTTTGGTCAAAGGTTGGATTTAATGATCTTGGAAGTCTTTTCCAACTTAATTGATTCTATGATATAAACAGACTGCATCAAAGTTTAGTAGACTTCCCTAAATGAAAAGAATACAGACTATGCAGTCTCTTCATAGCAAATGCACATGCATACAAGAAATAACTGAGTTCAAGAACGGGGGGGGGAAAAAACCCAACAAATCTAAGTCAGTTATAATAGCTCCACTCACTAAAGCTTCTAGGATTAATAATGAGCTAGAGGCATAAAAGCACTGTTTCCAGCTGATTTCCATTTATGCCCAATCTCTAATTACAGTATTTAGTTGCTATAGTACTTAGCAGCAACTATTTTCTCTGAATGAACACTGTCCTAGACAGAGAGCAAAACCTGCAACAGCTGTGATAACAAATAATGAATGATTTTAAAGTGTATTTAATATGTGAAGTTGCACTGTGCTCTGTGAATGCTTTACTTACTAAATCTATAATAACCTCAAATTTTGCCTACAATATTTCTAGCTTATTCATGATTTTTATGTTGTGCTTGTGTATTTGACATCTTTTTCTCTAGCCTTGCTGCCTTTTTCTGTCAGCTTTCCACTAAGCACTAAGGACAAAAAGAACTAAAATTTAAAAGAAAAAAAACAAAAAGAACACATTCTACAATTAAGCTGTTTGATGACAATCACAGAATCTATTTTCCTATTACTTTTTTCCTCTCCTTCTAAGACATCAAAGATGATGCATGTGGTCATACAGATATTCTTAAATTCCTCTGCCTCTGCACTGGCAAAATTTTAAAGTCATTAATTTTCTTGATTTGTACAATACATATCACATATCGCACACATGGGTGTGCTGATTTTGGCCAGGGTAGAGTTAATTTTCTTCACAGTAGTTAGCACAGGGCTGCATTTTAGATTAGCTGGAAATGGTGTTGATGAAAACAGGATGTTTTCATTATTCCTGAGGTGGGCTTGCACAGATAAGACTCTTTCTGCTCCTCAGCCCAGCCCACCAGTGAGGAGGCTGAGGGTGCACAAGGAGCTGGGAGGGAACACAGCTGGGACAGCTGACCAGGGAATATGACACACAACCCAAACCTTGCTGTGCTTTGAATCCTAACTACAGAATAATGTAGATTTTTCATGTTTTCCACAACATATTTTACTATTAGAAGGATCAATTATGTCTGGATAATAATTTAGCATTAAAGCCAAGTTTACCACTCAGCCTCAACCTGTACATTATTGGTTAAAGCAAAATACAAACACTGCTTATCTTGACTATCCCCAACCAACTCTTCTTGCACTTTCATGATCCCTTTTTCTTTCTTATTTCACCAAACTATTGCTGCTTCACTTCAGCCTAGTTCCAGCCATCAAATGAAGGTCAAACCAGCTGCTGTACAGAATTCAAGGCAGGTGCATTAAAAGCTCACTTTAGTTTGAAAAATAGGTTATATATGCCTGGACTGAAAAGACAGTACCAACAAATATGCAGAAAGAAAGGCAAAAGTAGAATATATGAGTCAGATCTCCACCATCTTTTTTTCTCCTTTTCTTTACCGTGGCCCTCCTCCCAAATAACTCTGTAAGGCACAAGCACCTAGCACTTAGGAATTTCTTTAAAGAGAAAAATAAGGACAATGCCTAGAAAGTTTGCTTAGATTCTGGCCTTGTGAGCAGGTGTGAGGACTGAATTCTTTCTGATACTTTTACATACCTATTCCATAGCCCTCATAGAGTTGTCTTTCACGTTCTATTGTCTGCTTGATGACAGCTTCCCGTGAACCATGCTGTCTTCCTTGTCTGCCTTTAATACTGTTTTGTAATTCAATCTGCTCCAATTCAGCATTGAATCGACACATATAACTGAAAGAAATAAAATCCATAAAAGCTAGATGCAGTCATACAAAAAAATTGCAAAATGTAATTACTCTGATAAATTATTTTACTAATTGTATTTATTTTCTAATTTATTTTATTTATTGGAGCCTCAAGGAGTAAATCGTATGAAATCTGCATGTTCAGGTGTCACAGAATAAACCAACAAGCAAATGCATGCGATTACTACTGTCCAAATCATTTCAAGTCCTCTACACACTACAAAACTAGGGATATACTTAAATAATTTAAAAAAAAAGAAACTACAAAATTACTTATTTGAATAATTCTTGTATGACTATATACATCTCTCAATATTTGTCACTGGCAACAAAATCAACTACTTGATATTGTAATTAGCAATATATAAAAGTCCTCCTCTGAGTCATCATCACATTATTTTTAAAGAAAAGTCAAGCTTTTTAATCTTGTTTTTAACACCAGTCTTACTTTTCAATTAGTTCACCAGCTTCCTTCTTTGTGTACTCGATTTTACTTGGATCAAGGTGACTTTGAAACCATTGCAGTTTTTCTCCTACAAGAATAAACTGAATATTAATGGTTACACCACCACTGTAGCATCAACACATATTAAAGTTTCTCAAAGTTTTTAAAGCCCCCCCACCCCCGCCATTTTTCAAGATTTTGAATGATATCAGAGACTCTGATACTGTGGGGACCAAGTATGAAGGCAGCTGTAATAGAAACATTTCCACATCATTTCAGAATTATTTTATACCTCCCTTACATGAAAAAAAAAAAAAAGTTAGACTTTGTTTTACTGGAAATTAACTAAAATATCTCTATATCAATTACTTAGGAAGGAAACTTAGAAAGGGGGAAAAAACCAACACAGTGGCTGAGTAAGAGTTCTGGTTGTCACATCTGTTTTTAAACAGATTAAACTGAAAAGCTGCAGGATCAATCATATGGAAGAGAAAAATATTTCAGGATGTGTCTCCAAGTTTTGAATTTATTTGCTAATACAATGTGTCTTTTAAGCTACATATATCATCTTCTTCTACAAGCAATTGTAAAAAGCTTGGAGACCAAAAACAATAAATTTGTGTACAGATGTACAAAACACTCCTTTGGTCTATATTGCCCTGCTGTTGTGTACATTGACTCAGCCCCAAATTCAATCCTGTATATATTAAGTGGACATGTCAGGTATTTCAGTATTTCAACCAAGTCTAATTGATGATTGCAGAATCAGATTATAGAAAAAGAAGCTCTAACTGGATGTCTAAAAAGTTGATAAAACTTAGAATCTGTACTAAGAAACTGAATACTATACTCAGTAATAGACGTTTCTGCTTACCAATAATACTTAGACGCAAAGCTTTGTCAGTCTTCAACCTAGCAGAGAAAAACCAGATGTGTTAGCCAGGAATGAGTACCATATAAACAATGACCTTCATTTTATTCTCAAAAAGTTGGGGTTTTTTTCAGTCACAATGAAAGTCAAGGTATAATTTCAAATAGAAATATTTGACAACTTCCAAATAATGTAAAATTTTTTCTGTTTCATCTAAAAGATCTAATTTCTGGTAAAATTACTAGCTGAAATTTGTCCAGTTTACCTATTAAGCTAAAAAGTTTCTTGGAAGAAAAAAAGATGCACTATTTTTTTTAAAACACAACAAAAGGAATTACACCAAAGAGCTGCATTGTCACAATTTCCTTAAGTATTTCTGATATTCTTGTGGTATGTTTGATGAGTTGGCAGATTTCACTGCACTGCATTCTTGCAAATCAAGCATGCAATGTGAAAAAATACCATTCTGTTACCTTAAAGCTTGTCATAATTAAAGTTTGTGCTTAGTGAACAGTAAATTAATGTGTTAAGAAACCAAAATTAACAACTTCATTAAAGAACTCCCCAGCTCTGTCTCACAGTACTTTTAAGTCCACTTGAATCTCTGGCAGGTTACTCAAAAGCCTTCTGTACTCTATGAGGTGTGGGTATACAGTTCTATTTGGGATTAATTTTCATCCTAATTAGGAGTTCTCAAAAAAGAGAAGTTCTCTAGCAGGAATGCCTAAGCCTCGTACTCTTTTGTCCTGAAGGTGTCAGATTCAATCTGCATCAAAGGATCTTGCGATGTTCTGTTGTATCCAGAAAGGAAAACAAGACATTATTGGGGTAAGTATGAAATTTTTCACTGGAAAATATATCCCAGCCATGAATATTCAGTGTATATATTCAAGGACATCTGATAAATTGACTTCTTCTTATTAAATAGAAAAATTGGTAATGGATTAAGTAAATCATAAAGGCTATAATTGACAAATAATAAATAATGCTAAAATTCATCACAGTTCAAAGCTATTGTGCTCCTTTATTAATTCCTTTTACTCTGTAAAATTTAATGAGCATTTTAGAGCTAACTGAAGTAACTGAGAGCACAGAAGTCTGTCACCTATCACAAAAACTGGAATCAAAAGATAAACCCTTACTTTTCCAGAGACAAACATACTTGCACCATTTGTCCACAAACCTACATTATTAAATAACAATTTAGTTTTTCAAGAAGTATTTCATCCTTTGAAGACTCCCTAAAAGCCATGTACAAGCAAATGCACAGCATGTATGAACTGCTAAGAATTCCACTAATGTAGTGGGATAGAATATAAGAAAATAAAGATAGTGCAGGAAGTAATCTCACCCCTAAGGAGTTGCAGCTGGGTCAATTAGCAAAGATTAGGAACAGGTCTGACTTTAACAGGCCACAGCTGTAACCAATGAGAAGAAGAGTGCTATAAAAGAGTGGGGTGGCTGGGTGAGAAGGGAACTGGAGTCAGTTGGCTGCTTTGTGAGTAAGAAAGAGTCAGTGCTTGGAGGAGCAGCCCATGAGGGAAACACCAAGAAGGTATGAAACTTTTGTGATAAGGAGACAACAGTATGGAACCCTTGCGGTAAGATGACAACACGCTAATACATTAAAGAAATTTCTACTTCTATGGATACCCCAGCATGTGTAGAAGAAGCCTTCAATAAAAGCTGGGCAGGCTTATATCCTCAGAGGACTTACAGCAGGCAGCTTTGGATGCTAACAGCAGGCAGCTTTGGATGCTAACAGCATCCAAGAAAAGGACACATGCTTCCCTTAGTAGAACTCCACACCATCAATCCCTGCTGGGAACCCTGCAAGGCAACCCTGCCAGACAAGTCTGTCTGCAGAGCTTTGCCATGGAGAAAATAACAATGGCATCTAGGAAAGCTGCCTAAACAGGATCATTTCACACATCTACATTCTAAAACACCAGAAACTGCCATCTGCACCTGCTAAGGGCCACTAAATCATTTATCAAAGCAGTGAAGTACAGAACCACCATTTCTTCTGGATCAAAAACCTTCAGTCTCCTGGTGCACACAACTAATTTCAGTATGAGAAATAATGAATGATCGGCTCGGATGTTGGCGTATTGTACTTTTTATAAAAACCTCACCTCAGTGGCTGCTAGAAGACAATAGCATTAGCAGGGAGGCTAATCAAATCAGGTGAGTCAAAGAAACTTCCTCTCCTCTCCCTCCACACAATGAGTAATAGCTTTTGCTCAGGAAGGAAAGGTAAGGTCAGGGATGCAGTCTTGTGGCACGCAGTTGTTTCTTGATGATTTTCTTCTTCACCCACCTTCCAGAAATCCTCTGCTTAGGCAATGATTATTAATAAGAATGATTAGTTGTTTTCTTGATGTTTACTAAGTACTTTAAAACTACATTCTACATGTTCCTTTAGCAGCTCTTTATCTCAGATATTTTATTCAACTGTTCTTCTCTAAATACTAACAATGAATAAGTATTTTCCAAATGAGATTATGAACTCAGTATTTTTCCCTGATAATATCCGTAAGTGCAAATGCCATCTATGGGTCTGAAAAAAAAGATAGGCTTTTCAGAATAAATAATTTTAAAAGCTAACAGTCTATCAGGTCCTCATAAGGAATCTGCAAGAGTATGTCACAAAGCATCACTGCCACAAGCAATGCAAGTAGAAGCACAGTGGATCAAGAGAGATTAGGAAGTTAGGGGAAAACCTCAGAAAAAGCACACACAGTGTTCTACCAGGAAACATTTTAAGATTGCTTACTCCCAAAGGGTCACTTCACGCCCCATCACTGTAAAAACTCCTTAGATGTCATATTTCAGAGCATGTCAGTATTAGACTGGCTTATCTGTAATGAAAATGCACTGACTACTAAGAAATTGATCGTGCATGCTCAATAGAAAGGGTCCATTTTGACTCAGGAGGGAAAACAACAGGAATAAAAAAAAAAGTGCAGCTACATTAGCTTTAGCTACCAAAACCAGATATGTTTTCCTGCAACTGCAGAAATACCTGACTGCTGTTAGTACATGACTACTCCCGAAGTTTCATTATTTTCCCACTATGGTCAGGTTTCCTAAAGTGTAGAAAAGTTAGTGTTCTACTACTGCCAGTGAAGCAGCTATTGCTGGCTCATAAAAACATCCATGTAATAATTTAACAGAGCAAACAAGCTGCCTAAAGGAATAAGAATTCACATGTAGATTAAGAGAGAATAAACTGGTAGTAATACACTGGAAGTTGTCGCTGCTCATTAGACCTTGAAGAGAATTCAGAGGAGATGGACGCAGGCAAGAAAAAAGTGTAATTGAAGTGAACAAGATGATTTAAGATTGTAGCCAATTTTCCAAAAGCAATTGGTTTGTCTCCTCTTATTATGGTGAAGATTAGTCTTTTGTAGTGCAGTCACAGTTTCTGGACAGTAAGCTTATAACTGCTGTCATATTTCCTTATGAATGCTTGCAGTGAAGAGTGGACAATGGAGCCCACAAAAGACTTCTGCAACTTAATGCAGAATTTCTCCCTCATTTTTCCCAATGCTGCATTTTAAATTTTCAAATTCCTTGTGGATAATGTCTACCCTTTTTTACTATCTCATTTGGGCAAAAGATACTGCAATATGCATCTCACAACTTAATGCAATTTTCCTTTCTTTATAAAATAAACAGGAACAATCACAGTAGTTATTTCCTTCCCTCCATCCTATAGGAAAGTTAATAAGCAAATAGAAGCCTAAACTGTCTCCAGACAAGCACCAAAGGGAAAAAGAACCAACAAAACCCAACCAAACCAAACCAAGCAAAACAAAATAAACAAACCACACAAACCCAAAAACATTGATTTTTATAAAAGATATTCTCACCCTCCAGTAACACACCACTCAAGGGTTTCCTACACCCTACACCTTTGTGTTAAATAGTAATTAACAGATAAAATGTACATATGTTTGAAGAGATATTACTCCACAAATTTAGCCAGCCACAATTAAAGCATCCTCTGGCAAGGAAATCCATAGCTTAATAAAATAGTACAGATGACCTCTATGGACTTCCTACATTCACTGAATACTCTAATCCCGTTTTTCCATTCTGCAGAAGTGCACTAGCCTGTACAGAGCAATTATCCTCTTTACTCAGACCTAGCGAGATCACATTGAGAACTCCATTTCTAGTTTTGTGTCCTATTCATACTTCAGACAACTTCTACACAATAACATGCATGGTCAAAAAAATGCCAGATTTGTAGACTGGACTAAGGAAGAAAATTCTGTAGAGATTACAAGGCAGCTTCTATTTACCACCAAATGATGTACTAACCTTCCACCAGAGAACAGGGCTGTCATTCAATAGAAGCAATTTGGAAAATTGTTTAAAGACATTTAATAGACCTGCAGAAGCAATGCAGAAGAATAAAACTGGTGTGAGCTATTTCTTTTTCCCAAGAGTGTAGGAGTGGAAAGCTTTCCTCCATTCACAGCATCAGAAATTTGTCTTGTCTTTTTCAGAGCTATGCAAAATGAATCCAAGCCTCACCATTATATTACAGAAACTGAAAGCTAAGTAATTACAACAAAAAAGTTCAATACATGTTTAATTCCCAATATTTTTAAAAAAATCCTGAGAACTTACCAAGCTGATAGTAAAAATAGAGATTCAAAAGAAATTGGAAGCCTTAATAAGTCTTTTAAAAACACTAAGGGGGAAAAAAAATCATTTTCATGTCTTTCAAATTAAATTGCTCTTCAAGCCAAGACAATACAAAAATAGAACATAGAGAATTGGAGGATGTTTTTAGTGCAACTGATTTGTAGAACACCACAACAAAAGTGATCTATCTACAAAATACAGAATGTCAGTTAACTGTTCAGGCCCCAGAAGTGTAAGATGTAAAAATCTTATTTATAAGATATAAAGATACAAAATATAAGATCATTTTGCTATCACAATATGCTGTGGATGGTCAAAACTGACACACTATTCTTGGTGGAATGGTTTCCCTATGCAAAATGAATGGTTACATCTTTTACAATCAGCCTAGATTGAAATAGCAAGGATAGGGCTTCTTCAAACACATCAGTGACCAAAGGAAAACTAAAGCTAATGTAGGGCTCTTACTGAATTGAGGGGCACCCTGGCAACAGAGGAGAGACGAGCCAGAAATACCAAATGCCTTCTTTGCACGGACCTTGACTGCCAAGAGCAGCCCTCAGGAATCTCTGACCAGGGCTAAGGAATGTCAGAAGACTTTCCCTTGACCAAGGAGGATTGGGCTAGAGAACACCCAGGAAAGCTTGACATCCACAAAGCCATGGGCCCTGAGGGATTCATCCATGAGTGCCAAGGAAGCTGGCAGACACCATGGCTAAACCACTCACGATTATCTTTGAAAGGTTGTGGAGATGAGGAGAGGAGCCTGAGGACTGGAAGAAAACAAATGTCACCCTGGTCTTCCAAGATGGCAAGAAGGAGAACCCAGGGAACTGCTGGCCAGTCAGCCCCACCTAAACCACTGCAAAGGCGACAGAGCACCTCATTCTGGAGGCCATCTCTATCCACATGCACAACAGGGAGGTGATCAGGAGTGGTCAGCATGGATTTACTAAAGGCAAGTCATGTTTGACCAACCTGATAGCCTTCTATGATGAAACAACAGCCTGAATGGATGAGGGGAAAGCAGTGGATATTGTCTATCTCAATTTCAGCACGGCCTTTGAATGTTTTGCTGTTGCAAGAGGAAGGAGGAAGAAAATGTAGCACTCCAAGAAGAAATATCACACTGTTGTCCCTATCAGCGTAACCACACCAGACTGTCACTAAAAGACTGAGTGTGCCATGTCACAATGAATAACCAGTAAGTATTGCTCCCTCACTAAGTTTTCTTGTGCATGTTTTTCTGTATGGTGAAGTCACGAATGCAAGCACTAAGAATCAAGTAAGATGAAGTCATCTTTTGTGACTAAGAACTGTGAGCGTTTTTTATTACACAAGGTGAGAGAGCTAAGGGACAAAGTGGTCAATTAAGCAGTAGGAAAATAATCTGCAATAAAAAATTACTATCAATAGTCAGAGAGCACAGAAAAAAATACAAAACAGCAGGGAAAACCTCTCTCACATTAAGAATCTGCCCATGAATCAACACATGCTGCTTGTGAATTCTTGCAGCAGCCCTGCTGGAGGCTACATGACCCCACTGTGGCAGCAAAACCCCCCTTCTAGGGAAAGAACGGTGCAACTGCTATGGATAAGGTTGTACATCAATCCCAACAATAAAACTGCACAGTCTCTGGACCAGGAGTTTCCAATTTAACAGCTTCAGACAAATGAGTATTTGGGTTCAGCTCACAAGGTCCATCCAGACACTACAATTTATACAGCATTATCTAGTTTATGTAGTGCTATATTATACTTAGACTGAAAATGCTTTAAGCTAGCTTTAGTAACTTTCTAAATAAACATATTTATGCATAACAACAAGCAAGCTTAGACAATGTAATTTAAAGGCCAGCATTCACCAGCTGTCTTTTCTCTCTGTGAGAGGGGGAGGTAAAGCTTAAAAGCATGGAACAGCACAAAACCACCAAAGAGGAGTTAACTATACAGTTTTATTCAGAAGTCTGTCTTCTGCAGGAAGGTTTCTGGGTTTTCCTTTCTATTAACTCATCATTTTAGCAGAAGCAGCTAGACCCTAAGCAGGATCCTTACTGAACTTGAAGTAAAGCCAAACTAGGTGACTCACCTTCATGTGAAATCACCAGCATCATGCTATTCAGATTATCAAAGGCAAGAAATCTAACTTGTAAGGACAACACTCAAAGTAAAGCAGCAGAACTACATACTTGGTATAACCTGATTCAATGCATGTAAACCTGTCACTTCACATGGCCCAGCAGCAGTGGCAAGTCACAAGGCCTTTCTGTTTTCTTGTGTTTATATCAGCCTAACAGTCCATGTCCACTACCACAAATAAAAAGTATCATTTGTGATGTTATTCTTTGATCTGTACAGAGGTTTTGCAGTCAACTTACTTTTCTTTCTTTTCCTGTTTGTGTACTTCCCTTGCAAGCTGTGCAGCTTTTCTGCTGTAGGGATGGATAACTTTTTTCTCTTGCTTCCCTCCTTGAGGTTTTCTTAACTTTGGCTGAAAAGACATCAAAGATACTATGCACTAACAATGCTGAGTAAAACATCAAAGGGGAAGAAGTATACACCATGGTAAAGACTGAAAAGGTCATGCACTGACATCTAAGAAAGCCCTTAACTTTCAGTAACATGTTATCAATTTCACCCACTTCAATAACAAAATTACTTGAAGCCAGTACATGCTGTAATAAAACCACTAGAGCACAGGAAATGCTGTAAGAAATTGTACCTAGTGACTACTGTCAGAATACTTACTTTGTAGAACTCTGCAGCTAGGAAACTAATATTAGCTGTACCTTTGCAGAAAAATGTCCCCATTCAAGCTCTTATCTGGGTTTCTGACAAGAGCCTCGTGTAATTTGTACAATGTAATAAAAGCGATTTTCTTGTTCCTCCCCAGAGATCATTGGAATGCTTCACACCAGGGAGCAGCCAGAGGCTTCCCTTCTGTACCCCTTCATACTGCACAGAGAGGGAATACAGCTCACAAATTTCCAGAGTATGGTAATACTGCTCTAAATTATGCTACTTTCTGGTAAGAAAATGTTTGAACAGAACCGAATGGCTTTATGAAATAATGTGCTAGTTAACTGCACCCAAAAGAAACACCTTAAAGCAAGGGGGCTTTCCTACATCACAATAAATGGGCATCAGTAAACGCAGAATATAGTACATCCAATTCTCTGCGATAACATCAGTGCTTAGGGCTGCGAAAAAAAAAAAAGATGCTGTGAAAGACATGGCTAAAGACACGGCTACTTCGAACACCTCGGGAATTCTCAGGGGGCGGCACCTCCCACCTGCTCCACAGGCGGACCGCGCCTCCCCCCGGCCTGCCAGGGGGGCCCAGAAGGACGCGAACCCCGCGGGAGGAAACGCAGCAGTTTCTATGTGCAAGGTCGGTTCACCGCCGGTACCGGCCCAGAAGGTCGCGAAGCCCACCCCGGAGCCAATGCAGCAGTTTTTATGTGCAGGGTCGGCTCACCGCCGGTACCGGCCCACAGGGCCAGCACACCAGGGGGCTCGCCTCCCCAGGGACGCGGCGGGGCCGCTTCCGGAGGGAATGAAGGGGCCAGGAACACCGCGTCCCCAGAAGCGCAGGCTGCGGGAGCCGCACCCCTACCCCAACCCCTATTCCTATCCCTGTCCCTGTTCCCGACCCCATTCCCATCCCTAGCCCGGCACACGCACCATGGCGAGCGAGCCTCTTTCCGGCGCCGCGGTGCAGCAGCCTCAGCGTTCCGGGCGGGCGCGCGGCGGGCGCAGCGGCCGTTCCGCGGCTGTTGGTAGCTGAAATTAATGGGGCTGCGGTGCCCGTGAGGTTGAGATAAAAGAAAAAGTAGAAGTAGTGCAAGAACCTGGTGATCATTATGATGGAGAAATTCCAGAACTGGAATTCCACAACTTTGCCAATGCAAAGAAAGAGCCTTGCTGAGCTGAAGAAAACGGAACAAAGTGAGCATCCTGTGTGAGGAAGCCAGGCTTTCCCTTGGTAAGGGAGAGAAACAACCTCTGGAATGTCCAAAATCAAAACTTAAAGTTACCAGAGAGTGTAACTCACAGACATCACCAAAACAGAAAAAGAGCCTCATCTCTGGCAGCAATGCTCCTGTAGCACCTCCAAGCAGATCAGCACCTACACCAGGGGCCTGCAGAAAAGCGCTTGTGACTGTTCAGCTCCAGCATGCCAGGCTCAAAGGAGACACCATCTTTAGGTCTTAGTACTTCTTGCTCTTCAGATGCTGATGAATCTTATACTATATAAAGAAGCATATTAATTTTAAAGATCGTCCTAAACAGCAAGAACACAAATATTTTACTAAAATATATATATATATATAAGGAAAGTGGGATTATCTAAAGCAAAGTCTTCATTCAGCTTATATCGGAACGTTGGCTGTTTGTGCACTTGCAATAAAACTGTTTCATAGATCTACAGGAGTGCTACAGATGGCAGTGAGAGTAGCAATTTTGGATTTTAATCTGATAATTTAGGATGTAGCAGTCACAGACAGGAAACTGAGCATGGAATTTTAAATAGTCCATTCAAGTAAATAGATTTAGAGTTATAGTGTCAAACAGCACAGGAATCATAGTAGCAAACTGGGGAATAGCTCTGTTTTAATACTGTTCAAATCTGCTGGGGACCAGCAGCTCACATTTAACTGAGGGATGCCAAAGGAAGTCAGGCAATAAGGTAAAATGGCTGTGAAAATAATTTGACTATGGGGCCCACTCATGAATACAAATGGAAGATGAAAAAAGTAACTTGTAGATTCTTTTTTCATTTGGATGAACAGCTTGGAGGCTTTGGAGCATGCATGCCAGGGTATGTCAACAGGTATGGCCCTCCCATCAAAGTCCCACAGAGAAACTGCTGTGGTCTCCATCTATCATTTCACAGAGAAATGCTGGGTGGGAAGCAGATGTACAACTGGCTTCACTTCTGAGCTGCAGGACATGGCTGGGGCAGAAGTTGGAGCTGAAAGACACCCACAGTAAGTTTTTAATGGGAACTGTAAGAAAGAAACACAGACTCTGTAGACACTTAAATTTAATGGGCAGCTCTGAGGGGCCTTTCAGCTGGTCTTCTGCCACTGACTGTAATGAGACCTCTGGGTGATGATGCATTTAATCTGATCACCTAGCTACAAACCAAAAAGTGTTCCATATAAATGGGCATTTCTTTCTAGTCTGGTATTGTTCTTTAAATAGCTTGTAATCTGGAAAATCTTTTTCTTGCTTTTTAGTACTTCACTGAATCCATCTACAAAGGATCTTTTGCAAAATGTCTTGACAGCTGTGAGGAGTAATTGCTGTGTAAGTTCTCCTAAGTCATGTATTTATCCTGTGGGGGAGGAGTAGATACAGACAGAAGAATCCAAATTTGGCATGTTAATAACTGGATCTTAATTTGCATTTTTTGCATTAATTTTACTGATGCTATTACAAATGCATTAATGAAAATAAAGGGATATCTGGCTGTGACAGTAGTTTTTCTTACAGTGTTCAGTAATAAACAATAAAGTTGCAAAATAAAGTAGGTTTATCAAATACAGTTTAATTCTTTCACCCCTGAACTGATTTGCTATTAAATTCTAGTCATTACTAAATATTATTATGTTAAATATTATAAAGCAGTGACTACAGTATGGTACTTAGGATACAGTAGACATAGAATTCTAAGAAGGAGGCTCCATTATAATGACAATAGCATGTGTCAGCTTTTCAGAAATTCTGACATTTCCATGTCATGAATTGGACCAAATGGCATAGGACTTAGACTGATTTCTGAATATTCTTTAAAATCTCATTTACAGTTTTATAACTGCATTAATAAGAATGGAATTTAAAATTGTGTTTAGCTTAGTTGTAATAAAATACAAATTTCCTGAGTTCAAGGGAATCAGCTAAGGGTTAAAGCAATTAACAGCTGTATTTAGAAACAAGTAATGAGCAAGGAAAACTATCAGTGAGGGGACGGTGGGCAGTCAGTCTCACCCTCTGCCAAAGTCTGAATGCATTTGTAGTAGGGCTTTAGTGGAGAGACATATGTAGAGTTTCTTGAGCATATTACATGTTAGCAATAAGACCTAGCAGTAGAGTAGAAATAGAAAATTGCAGTTATGCTTGCAATTGTTTAGTGTATTTTTTAAGCTAATATCTCTTAGGTGATTTTTGCATGTGCTATTATCTTAATGGATACAGGATATAGAACCCTGGTTCACTTAATGTATATTTATTGCAAACTTCCTCATTAATTATATGTTCCTAGGAATTCTAGTCTCTTTCTACATATGCAGAGGTCAGATCTTCTCAAGTAATAATGATATGAAGGAAACTGTATTGTTTAAATATAAATAAATTGGGTAAGAATTATAAAGTACTGAAAATTATACATGACGTGTTATTTTTAAATCAGCCTTTAGGAGAATAATTCAGCTGACAATTGAGCTCATTGTTGTCACAGTTAGGTGACTGCCTGAGCTTCAGCAAATCTGAGGGTGCATTCATTGGTTTAAAGACAGACCTTAATATTTGCTGTATCCTGAGTTCATAAATAGAATGCCATTTGCTTTTAATTTAGTCAGGTTTATGCTTTGATGTTAAATTCCCATCAATTCAATGCCATTGTTTATGTCCACAGTTTACAGACTGTGAATATGAGTGGCTGAGGTAATATTTCTATAATTTCAAATTAAACTACTCAAGAAAGCTTTAAATAAAGCCAAGTTTTAAAACCTATGCTCCTGACTTTCTAGCATTTGTCTGAAATTTTCCTTACATTTCTTATATTCAGTAGATTTGGGTTTACTTATGCTATTGATACTGATGCATTTTGCACTGATATCTTAATTTTTCTGCTGACAAAATAAGAAAATGTGTGATAGAAGTACCTATTTATATAACTCACTTTTTCCTATATGGTTTACAATAATTTCTAATCTATATTGCACAAGAAACTACTAAAAACACCTACTATATGCTCCTCTGCTTATGTTGCAGGTTGCCTATTTCTGCACTTTCTGTTTTTTCTAAATGCTTCTATTATTGTATTTCTTTTAATCTCTCCATTCTAATTACACTTAAGCTCTTCCTAATGGATTCCTGCTGCTAATCAGAATATCAGAAGACCACTTAGTCCTTTTGACAGAGCCTCTTTTATCCATCTCTTTAACCTTTTTAAATGAGAGCTCTGTCTGCTTCATTTGTTTCGATTTTGCAGAGGCTCTCTTACAATGCTTCACCTTTTGCAAGTCCGTGGTAACACGGGAGCTGTGTAACATACTCTGCAAGTTTCCAGCTTCAAGATATCAACTGTAGAAGTATCTACCTTTAAAAATTTCTGGAGAAAAGAACGAGAAATGGACCTACAGAGTAGCAGTATAACATGCTGTCACTGTGTAACATGGCAGCTTCAGCAAAGAAAAGAAAATCTTTTGTACTAGATCCATTAAATGCTCTGTTTTGCAGACACCTTTCTGGACCAAATTATTCCAGTCAGGGTGCATCCAAGTGTGTCAATACACAAAAATTTTCAACAGATTCTCTGGAACCCACAGTTTCCTTGAGCCTGTGGTTTGCTCAGTAGTTAATGTTCAGATAAAATGATCAAAAGTTCAGTGTGGGGTGGCTGTGTCTGGGCAACATGCCTCAAGCTTAGGGAATAAATTTTTCTGTCCCTGCCTAGACTTTTGTTTACCTGTCTGGGCATCCATTTGAAGAATTTCTCCTTATAACCATTCAAATATACCCATTTGTGAAGTTGCAACCAAAATTCACGATTTTATTCTTGTGAGACTTTATTACAACTTTTTTCTTCGATAATGAATTGAATGTAATCTCTGGTAAATTTATCAGACCCATCCTTGATATATCAGGATATTTTCATTATACATACACTAAGAATGGAAAAATAAGGATGAAATTCTCTGACAATACAAAGATGGTTACTGAGTTAGCCTAAAAAAAAAATCCTGGTACTGTGTGAAACAGAAAAACATGAAAAGATTGAAATCTCAATGCTTTCATTAAAATTTGAGTGACAGCATATAATTTTTTAATCTATCTGTCTCGTTTGAGTGGTCTCTTTCCTTCTTGTCCTTTTCAATCTTCAGGCCCTGTGGCTGCAGCAGTTGAGGCTATTACATGAACATGTTGTATAATATTTTAGATGAGCTGACTCCAGAAATTCAATCTTGTCTGGGATTTCATCAGGT